AGTATATTGAAGTCTCCTATAATTATTATTGACTTATCTATTTCTTTTCATAATTCAGTTTTAGTTTAAATATGTTGAGACTATGTTAATGATGCATACAAATAAAAAAGTTTTCTATCTTCCAGATGAATTGAACTTTTTCCCATTATGAAATGATTGTTTTTATATCTAATAATGTTTCTCACCCTCTTTGACTACTTTGCCTTGTTTGGTTTTAATAAGCCTACATCAGCTTTCTTTTGGTTAGTATTTGCTATGTATCTTACTCCATCCTTTTACTCTCTATCCCTGTATTTAAGGTATATCTCTTATAAGCAAAATATAATTGTATGTTGTTTTTTTTAATCCTAACAATCTTTGTCTTTTAATTGGATTATATAGTCCATTTACATTCAGTGTAATTACTTTTTGCTCTATCTGTGTTCACGTCTTCAGTTGACCTCTTTTTGACTGGTTGTTTTTTTCCCTCTCTATTCACTTGGTAGTTAGATGCTTTATTCTTTATTCTTTTCATGGCAACCCCAGTGGCATTTTTTCTTATCAAAGTCAGATGCGACTTGGCACTTTACTTTCATCTCAGACTATGAAAGAACTTTGGAACACTATATAATTCTAATGTATAATTTCTGTTTGTCCCACTTGTTTTCATAGGATGTTATAAATCACAATCAGTGGTAGAATAATTACAGTCTCCATGCAAGACATTAATTAGAACTGTGGTACTACCACTGGCTAAGTCAGAAGCTAGGCATCTGGAGGAATATTGGATGAAATGCTTACCCGATCGTTTTTTGTTTTTTTTGTTTTTGTTTTTGTTTTTGTTTTTGTTTTGCATTGTTCCTCTATGCATGCTGTTACTGGTATAGTACTGACACTGATCAGAGGAGAACACCTCTGACTGCATCTAGGGACTGTGGGTGGGCAGCTACTGAGGGCTATTCTTAGAGGCGGGCAAAGCCTTTCAAGTTTAGTCACATGTTCATGGTTGCTAATCTGCCTCTGTACTAATTCAGTACTGGTGACTCTAATCTGTAGGATACACACTTGTGTATCTAACATATCCCATCTGCGTGTAGTTTCCTTTTGCTTCCATTATATTTTCTCCTTATCACATTTGATATTTTGAGAATTGTCAGAAAAAAATATACCCTTTTTCTAACTACATTTTTGGTCAGGTTTACTTTAATTCATAAAATGCGTGTAACTTTAGGTCCACAATAGGTTGGCTTCCACCTTGTCATTTTTTGTCTGATTCCACTTGAAATAACATGGAGGATGTAATGTGTAACTCAGTCAATGCTCTGTGCTTTCTGGAAATGGAGTATTCTGATTATCCATGATTGAATATAAATGGAAATATGTATGCCTGCACATTTAGCACCTGTTCTATGCTGCTCATGTCCATTAATACTCTCCATTTGGTTTCTCTAAATTTATACCACGAATTGATGAAGAATTATGTAGCAGAAAATATATTAATAGTCCAATGACTAATCTATACTTCAAATGAAAACTTTCTATGTGTTCTTATCAGTAATACTCTCTAATTTTATTTAACTGGTTAAAAGTCCATTCTGTTTATTGACTAAATTCATATCTTTATATAGTATTGTCCAAATTTTTAGACATGTTTGTTCATAGCTCCTAAAATTGGAGTGATATCACTGTCAGCTATTTGTATGAATTTTAGGGGAAAACTGATGGTAGACATTGACTTTTAGCAATGTCAAGTTCATGATTTTGAAATATGTATATATTTAAATTACTTTAATATTGCCATTTAAGAATGTAATTTACTCAGACTGAGTCATATTACTGTACTTACTACGTGTTTCTTCCCAGAATGTTTACTCAGAACCTAAAAGGGAAAAAGGAAATGGTTGATCCAGTACATACAGTGCTATGATTTCTGAGACCAGCACATTGGTTCCTGTTTGGGTGTGTATTTAGTTCTGCTCCATTAGAATCTGGGCTGTGCTCCACCCGCTCCTTGAAAAAAATTTTTTTCTTCTCAAATGTAATTTATGAAAAATTAGGTTACAGGGCTAGGAGTAAATAAACGTGTGTGATGCCACATTTTAGACATAAAGTAACACTTGCTGTATTTAAGAATAAACTTCTGTAGAGTGAACATAAAGGCTGTTTTCATTTTCTGTTTCAAGATACACTTTTGGCAGCTCCCATAATCACAGTAAAGATGTTTTCTAATCCTTCTTTTGACCAAGGACTGCTGCTGCCATAAAGTCAGCATTTAAATTCCACGAACTGTGAGGGACAGGAATAACAAGGATAAGGTCAGGTGTTCCGTTCCTGCCCACAGAGTGAATGGGCTGTTTCAGTGAGCCTTTCCACCAAGCTGCCTGAAGGGAGAAAACTGCCCCGGGTGGGAGGGGCCTCGGGCCTGAGCACCAGGTTCGGCAGTGCTGCCTTTCACCCGAGAGCCGCACTAGCACATGCTTTAGTTTTGGCAACATGCTTCCCAGAGATCCACATTATACAAGGTTGTAGTGATAAAATTCATGATGGTTTGGGAGGAAAAATGAGTGCCTTGAATGTAGCCTGAATCACTGTGATTTAAGCACAATTATTTTTAGACTTTTTTTAAGAAGTAGATCTGACTTGCCAAGAATGGAGTGCTTAATTTTCAAGTAATTGAAGTGGAGATTTTGTTGCTGTTGTTTTTCATCTCCAGCCAGGATTTATTTATGGGTTTAAAATGGATGTGAAAGTAACTCAGACTATTTCAGTATCTGAAATCACTAAATGATAAAATGATGTATTAATATAATTATATTCTTGGTCATGTGAAGGCTTCCTTTGTGAAGAACTCTGATTTGTTTCATGTTGAGCTTTAGGAGAACATAATTATGGGAGAAATGAAGTCGGTGTCATTCAGGATGGAGAGTGGGTATCTTAATACCTTGGTGTGGTAGGGGTGAGTGCTGGGGATGTGTCTGCCCTCACTCTCAGGTTTATCCAGCAGGCTGTTCTGTTAGAGGTTCCTAGAACCACAGGCTGCTTAGGGACTTATAAGTTATGTACCTATAACCTAATGAGGAGACTCTCTGCCCCCATCATGCCGTGGTTATTTTAAGCAGCGTTGTTCACAGTGGGCTTCGTGCTGAGGAGTTGGTTTATCTGGGACACCATGGGGACTGGGGAAATGACCTGGTTCAGTTGATTTTGAGGGATCTGTGGCATCCCTGAGGAAGAGGGTCTGGAAGAGAACAATTTGGGAGTCAAGAGAAATGATAAGAGCTCGAGGGGCAAGACCTAAGAGGTCCAAGTGGTGGGTTTGAATGTCCAAATGGTGGGGGACAGACTAGGGAGCCTCTTTCCCCACCCCTCATGGGACAAATGATTGGGCTCACAGAGACTTCAGAAGCCATTCCCACATACATTCTCTCCCAGGCAGGGAAGGGCTGGCACATTTGTTGTTCAAGGAAGCAAGATGAGTAAGGGGCGTGATTTCACCCTCGAGGCTGGCCCAAGTGATGACACACATGCACAAGGGAATGAGTCTTTGTTGTTGAGTGTGACATATGGGTGAAGTGTCAACCCCAAGTGACCGGCTGTGAGCTGGCAGCCAACAGCTGGGATTGGAGAATATGGGGTAAATTCACTTTTAGACATGTTGAATGTGAGGTACATAATGAGACATCCAGGTGGACATGTTCAGGAAGAGGCTGAATTTCTTAGTCTGAAGATGGGGTAGGGGGACGAGACTGGCCGTTGAGAGTCATGTGTCCTTTTTTTTTTTTTTTTTTTTTTTTTTAAGATTTTTATTTATTTATTTGACAGAGAGATAGTGAGACAAGAAACACAAGCAGGGGGAGTGGGAGAGGGAGAAACAGGCTTCCCGATGAGCAGGGAGCCCAATATGAGGCTCGATCCCAGGAACCTGGGATCATGACTTGAGTCTAAAGCAGACACTTAACAACTGAGCCACCCAGGCGCCCCGAGAGTCACATGTCTTAACTCTTTCTAAAACGGAGCACCATAGTATCATCTGTGTAAAGGTGATAGCTGAAGTCACAGTCTAGTTGGTATTCTTTCTCTTTCCCTGTACCTACCACAGTCTTAATTTTAATTCTTCATCTGGAGCATTTCAGTTTACCCAAGGAATTCCTACCAAACTGTGGGAGGATCTACCCAACACATTTTGTTACACATATGGTCTGGTGATTGTTCCAAATGATGCTGTTTGAACACATATGGTCTGGTGGTTGTTCCAATATGATACTATTTTTTCCAGTTCTTAGTTATCAGACCCATTTGGTTCCTATAGATAAGTGAACAGGGAGAGGCTCTTGTTCACCTTTATCAGAGTTTAGGAGCAGAGATGCATCACACTGTCTCAAACTGCAAGAGATGTACTTTGGAAATCAAATGGTTGTCTTGCTCCTTTTGGAGTAAAGCTCAATTCTGGAACATTCTCCATATGACTGTACTTGTTTCAAAGAATTGATGTAGTCCCTGGAGATATGAGGCAGAGCACTGTCCTTGCTGCATTTTCCCATGGTATTAATATTTTCCAAAATGATATAAGAACTAATACGAGAAAAAATAACCTTTATCTTTTATGCCTGACGGATAATCAGATTACTCTGGGGATTAGATAAAAATAAGTCATTTGTTCCTATAGTTAGTTACTATAATGACCATGATAATCTTGCATAAGAGAATTTAAAAATCAAATCAGATAAATAGATTCAGCTTAGGGAATGAGAAAATATAGAAAGCATGATATGAATTTGAAGACAAAGTTGGCATTCTTTGGATGAACAGTGTTGTAGAGTAAGTTTGCTAGGTCCTGGGTCCCTCTGGCATCAGCCCAACCACGGGCATGCAGTTGGTATTTCTGACATGCCAGGGCCTGATGCTTCCAGGCACCAGAGGACAGCAGTAGATTGTGCTTCATTCCATTATTTTACTTTGTTTAATATCTTTACAAAATCCACACAGTGACTTTTCTCCTTAACATCTGGTTTTCTTCACAGGCCATGTTCTCATAGAGATTTCAAGTACCCACAAGAAACTCAATGAGAGTCTTGATGAAAATGTATGTAAACTATTTTTATACTTATAAAATAAAGTATATTTAATTTCTAAATTTTATGTTGCTTAATGTCTCAAATCTGGTGTGACTTTTTAATTGCTTTTGTTAACAGTTCAAAAAATTCCATAAAGAAATTATACATGAGCTGGAGAAGAAGACAGAACTTGATGTAAAATACATGAATGTGAGTACATGGTTTTTTCCACCTCCATGTTTGGAGGTGGGTATGGATCATGGGGGCCTGGCGTTCTGGGAGGCTGGGCCCGCCTGATCTCTGAGCCGGAGGAGAACTTTCTCTCGCTGTTTATCCAGCAGCAGAAAACATAGACAGAGCTTAGTGTTGAGTATATACACAGAAGGCATGAAACTGACAAGGTCCCTTGGAGCTGGGTGCCCTGTTTGCTTTAACACCTGGGATCTTTATTAAAAAGCAGAGAGGAAAATATTGCAAGGAATCCTCCTGCTTCTAGAAAGCATTGTTTTCAAAGAACACGGGTATAGGGACAACATCTGCATCTGTATTAGTGTAGCTGCAGCTGTTGCTTTCACAAACCAGCACTTCACGATGTGGGATGTGGGTGGGAGAACACCATCTAGGGCTCCCCGGGGCTCCCAGGTCCATTCAGCAGAGACTGCTCCTGTGTGGTGTCCCTTGCCTATCACCAGGTATTGATGACTCCAGCTGTTTTCTTCTTCTGCCTGACCCTCCAGCCGTGTCACATGGCTCTTTCCATCTCTCTTATCTGCTATAGAATAGCTGCTTTCTTTGCCATTCAGAGTCCCCTTTTCACCAAGACCCCCATGCAGCAGTAAGCGGCGTAGTTACCCTGAAATCACCCCACTGCCCCTGTGTGCCTGTGCTCTGTGTACTCTGGAGGAAGGTGGCAGGATAGCCGACAGCGGCTGAGGGGGATGTAATGGCAGGCATTTCCCATACATTATCAGATTTTTATCCCTACAGAAACTCCATAATGTAGCCATTCTTATCCTCACTATACAGATTAAAGGGAAAACATGAACTTTAGAGAAGTAAATAGTTGCTGAGATCACACAGGAAGTGAAGGACGTCACCAGAATTCTAACCCAGGTCTGTGAAGCTCCAAAAACACCTTGCTCCACAGCACCCACGATAATCTGAAGTGCTTGCACTTGTTCATTCTGTTTTTTAAAATTGTAAATCATAAAACAGAAGCATGTGACTTACTATTGTTTTTTTAATCATCAAAGCATTTAACGTTCAGTGTCCTAAAAAATTTGAGAAAACAAGGAATAAAAGAAAAGACGTTCTTTTCTTCTAAGAGCTCCCCTTGGGGTCAGTGGCCCCTTGTATGAACAGGGGACTTTAGGTCAGACAAAGCTACATGCTGAAGGGAGGGAGCGGTATGAGGTGAGGGTGTGCAGGGCGACGCCCAGTGGAAATGTCAGCCTCTGTAACTGCCCAGCAGCTGGGGTAGTGCTGCACTCAAATCAGCACAACGTTTAACTTACAGGCAACTCTCAAAAGATACCAAACGGAACACAGGAATAAATTAGACTCTCTGGAGAAATCTCAAGCAGAGTTGAAGAAGATCAGAAGGAAAAGTCAAGGAGGACGAAATGCACTCAAATACGAACACAAAGAAATTGAGGTGAACTCTTCAGCACTATTTTATTTTGTTGACAATTTGTACACTATACAGGGATGCTTACCTAGCTCAGTCGGCTTGTATTTCATCCACTCACAGCTGTGCTGCTGTTGAAGTTAAAAATGAGCATATTTTACTTGGTTTGAGCTGAAGGCCACAGAGTTTTCCAGAGTTAATAATTAGCCTCCTAAAAACATTGGGCATTTTCTCCTGATTTGGGGGCGGTGGCGGGGGGAGGTGTTGGTAAGAGATGTGCCATGATTAGCATTACTCTCCCCATGTTACAGATGAAGAAAATGGGGCTTAGGCCAAGTCACGTGGTTGTTACTTAGAACTAGGGATTAAATTTGAACTTTCTGGTTTCAAAGTCCTTGATTTTCCAATAGAACACAATCTTATCCCTGAAGTATGAAGTAATATTTTGTGCAGATTGCCCAGGGCAGAATGTAAGGCCTTTGGCAACGTCCTTCCACACGAGTCAGGGATCTTAATGAGAATGGTGATACCTGCTCAGGTCGGGTTACAACTTTGTTATTTTATCTCATGTTTATCTGCATTTAGTGTTTACTCCATTTCAAAATAAACCAAGTGTAAAGATGGCACAAGATAAATGTCTGGCTGTTCAGCTATTTGATTCCTCATGACATACTTGTATAATTATTATTTATTTTCCTAGTATGTAGAAACCGTTACGTCTCGCCAGAGCGAAATCCAGAAATTTATTGCAGATGGTTGCAAAGAAGCTCTACTTGAAGAGAAAAGGCGCTTCTGCTTTCTGGTCGACAAACACTGTAGCTTTGCAAATCACTTACATTATTATCATTTACAGGTGGGTTTGTGACAGCAAGTTTTGTTGCGTCATTAATAATTTAATTTCGTATTCAAACGCCCTTGGAATGCTTCGCTTTCCACATGTGTCCCAGGGTAAAGCGGTGGGCCTAGTTTGCCAAGGAGAAGAGATGCCCAAAAAAATACCTCTTGGCCCATGTGGTTATGTAAACGTTCAGAAATGTGGATGAAATGATTAAATATTGCTTATAAGATTAATTTGGTAGTATGTATTTAGAATCTTTCATAAAATAACGCTTAATAATCGAGAATTAGTACTTTTTTCTTTTCTCACCTACAAGTCAGCTTTTCTCAGACTCTTTCTAATGCATCCTCAGCTCAGTGTCTTCACCAGAGCCATGGGATGAGTCCCAGGGGCCCCAGGCCCACCCCACCTGGGTAGTTTGAGTGTCTGCCTTGGGAGTCCATGCACAGAGGTGTCCCTGGAAGTTCTGTCCCAGCTGCAGACCCACTCACAGCATCAGGACAGTTGTGGTTCCTTTTTCATTCCTCTTTAAGGTGTTTCCTCGTGATCTCATCACCTGTGGAAGTGGCTTTACTGCCCTCCTTCCAGCACACATGGTTGTGAGGTTTTACCCCCAGGAATCATTAAAAGATACATGTTACTTTCCTTTCGTTTTTTTTTTTTTTTTATTATTATAAATTTTATTAGGCCTGTATAAGCATCTAAAACTAGCATTGAGTGAAGTCAAATATTCATTGTTATTTATAATAATTTAGGGAGTACTCCATGGTAGAAGCTTCCTAAGAGCTTGAAAATAAGGCAAATTCCTCTTTTTCAGGGGAAAAAAACTTGGCCTTGTGTGTACCCATCGGTCATCTGTTACACATTCCATAAAGTTTTGCAACTTTAAGGACCATTCATCTACCAAATCTAAAGCCCTAAGATCTAACATTGTTACAGGAAAGGAAAGAATTGCGGTATTGGACGATCACTTTGTACTCAGTTCACCAGTGTCCATTTCCATGGTGAGGGTGTCCTGGACAGGGTCATAAGTTAAGTGACCCTGAAGCTCTTCCTGTAGCCTAGCCCTGCCAGTGATGCGGTGCTAACTCTGTCGCAAGGCAACCTGGCCTGTTTGCAGAGAGCTCCAGTTGGTGGCAGACGCTTATGCTTAACCTTGGATTCCAGTTACGCTTTTTAGCAACAAAGTCCACTTCTTTTCTCCACTGGAAGAGTCTTCACCTCTCTGAAACCCACTTCTGTGCCTTCCCTTTTTCTGGCTCCAGCATCCTAGTCCTTTTAGTGGCTCTTTGGACAAAGCAGGCCCAAGCAATCAGCGTGTCAGGGCTACAGTCCGAGGCCATCAGTGGTTTGGGGTGAGGGTTTTGCCCTCTGTTAGGAGTGGGAGGAAGAAAACACTGATCAGCATCTCTGGGGCCACTCGGGAAACAGTGGGGCTTAATAAGATTGCTCCACCCTTCCATTTTCCCATTTGAGCTCATTCTGTGTCAGTCTCCAGCTCTGCCTTCACTCCGAGGGAGAGGGCAGCTCGTGTAGAATAGGGGCCCATAGCTCTCACAGCAAATAGCACAGGGCGGAAGCTCATAGATAGTTAAGTGCTCCCTGAATTTGACACAGAGCTCTCACACTTCTGGTGGCAAGCCAGTAAAACATAATCACTAATATCTGACGTGACTTTTCTCAGCTCCTTGAACAGTACACATTTGTGTTTTGTTATGTTTCCCTCTGATTCGCAGTCTGCAGAATTACTCAATTCCAAGCTGCCCCGGTGGCAGGAAACCTGTGGTGATGCTACCAAAGTGCCTGAGAAGATCATGAATATGATCGAGGAAATAAGGACCCCGAGCTCCACCCCCGTGTCCGGGACACCCCAGCCCTCACCGATGATCGAGAGAAGCAGCATGGTAGGGATGGCTTCTCTCCGAGATTTCAGTTGTGTGTTTACTGATCGGACTGGGGCCAAATTTGCACAAAGGATAAAGGCCTTCAGTGGTGGCAGTCACAGGTCCTTCCCTCTTCTAGGGCCTCCCTTGTCTCACCCTGATCCCCTTACCTTCAGACTTGACATTAGCTGAGCAGTGCTCAGCACTGCGTAGTGCTGTGTCCAAACTCTATTATCCTTGTTTTGGAAATGTTATTGTTACTGTTTTTAATTGTAAGGATTCTAACTTCATAAGTTTATCGCCAGGGAAGGAGGCATAGGTGTCTTAGAAAATAACTAGCAAAGGTCTGGTGCCATTCATCACAACATAAGGCACTTCAGAAAAAAGTAGCCACCAAAGTATGCAAGGTAATGAAATCAAACATTGTAGTTTGCCGCTGCTTGAACCTTGGCTTTATTACTTTTTGCAGACATGGAAATTTGGCTCCTGTGCATAGTTTATACACATGGGTCCACCCTAACCTCTGAAATGAAAGCAAAGATGCTCAAGGCCATTCGACAACCTACAGAATAGATCCATAACCGCATGGGGAATAAGAGAAGGGGCTGTCAGTGGGCCAGAAACGAGTATCAAAGAGAGAAAGGCAAGATCAGTGTGTGGAGAATCAAGAGAAAAGAAAATCTCAGCCCCGAGCACCTGCAGGGCAAGACTGTAGCAGAGGGCAGAGCAGTGAGCTCAGAGCCAGTGAGTGTAAGAGAGGGCAGAGAATGGCATGTCGCGTTCCTGTATGTGGTCGGTTCTAGACGGTTCTAGATGATTCACATCCTCTAAGCTGCTCAGTTTCTTCCTCCTGTCCCAACCAGTAGGCAACAGGGGCTTTTGTCCACTGGCTGAAACTGTGTTTCTGCAGAAGAGGCCAGGCACCTTCCTGGCTGTGTCTTCCCTGTCCCCACCCACCTCACTGCGGTTAGTCTGCGATAACGAAAGTAGGCGGTATACAGACTAGGATAAATAGGCAAAAGAATAGGCAATGCTGTACAATACAGAGATGGACAGATAACCAGGAATCCCTGAACAAGTGAGGAAAACCAATATCATGAAAAGACACACTGAAAGAAGAAACGGGAATAACCAATATTGGAGGCAACAGAGGCAGTAGGGCAGAGGAGAAATCTTAAAGAAATGAAAAGATACTATGTCCCCAGAGGAGAATCAGCTAAATATTTTGGAAGTTAAAAATGGATTATTATTCACAATTGAAATGTCTGGGATTTGCTCCAGCATATTCCAGGCACAAGGGAAGATGGGTGTAGCATATACGAAACAATATTGGCCATGAATTCTTAATTGTTGGAGCTGGGTGTTGGGTACAGGGAGATTTATTGTGCTGTTCTTTCTCCTTTATACATGCTTGAAATTTTTCTAAAATAGCTTTTTAAAATTTTCCTTCCCCTTCCCCCCCTTCTACAAAGAACATAAACAAGAAAACCTCCACACCAATGGATGGGCTCATTAACGGAATGGAACTGCTTGGGAAATTAATCCAAAGAGCTCTCCCAAAACACAGAACAAAAACAGAGAGAGGATGTAAACATAATGTTAGACAGATTGGAGATACCCAATTGCCTTCTCACAATCATCTCCAGATGTCTAATGGGGATCTCAAACTCAACTTGTCTAAAACCAGATGACTGATTTTCTTACTCTAAACAGGCTCCTCTGGTCTTCCCCATCCAGAAGATGGCAGCTCCATCCTTCCAGTAGCTTGGGCACAAATGTGGACTTCTCTCCCTCTCTCTCCCCACTCCCTGCCTCCCCCGACCCCACAGCCAAACCCTGGGCATGTCCTGTTATTTCCACCTTCACAGCATATCCAAGTCCAGCCACTTCTCACCCCTCCACTGCCCTGAATATGGTCCCTGCAGAGATTACTGTAGTTGACTCTGCCTAGTCTTTAACACAGCAGCCACAGTGAGCCTGGACAAATGGGAAAAAACAAAACCTTGAGAGATTGTGGTCAAGTTGCAGAAGGGGCTAGAGAGAAATTTCTAAAAACTTCCAGAGGGGGTGGGAAATAGATAACTTAGAAAAGAGAACACCACTGGTACCAGATTTCTTTTTATCAAAACAAGATGTTAGAAATCAATGGAGCAATGCACTCAAAATTCCTTGGAAAAGTTATTTTAAACATAGAATCCTAGGGCACCTGGTGGCTCAGTTGGTTAAGTATCTGCCATCAGCTCAGGTCATGATCCCAGGGTCCTGCTTCACAGGGAGTCTGCTTATCTCTCTGCTCCACCTCCCACTCTCAATCTCTCTCTCTCAAATAAATAAATAAAATCTTCTTTAAAAGATAGATTAATGTAGAATCCTGTAGCTAAGAAGCACCTAAGAGGGAACCTAAAATCCATAGAGACAGAAAGTAAATTAGTGGCTGCTAGGAGGTGGTAGGAAATGGGGAGTAATTGCCTTAAAAAAAAAAAGAAGACAAAAATGAAAAAAAGAATGTGATATTCTTGAAATAATAATTCAGAATGGGGCATTGCCATCCAACCAAGAGAACTTTGGGAAGAAAGTGGAATTTAAAGCATGTTAAAATAGTCCTGGGAATCTCTATAATTCCATCGCTGTGTTAACACTAATATTAAACTAATGAGGAATTTTTCACAGGTTGGGAAAGATTATGACACTCTTTCTAAATATTCACCAAAAGTGCCCCCAGCTCCTTCAGCCAGAGCGTATACTAGTCCTTTGATCGATATGTTTAATAACCCAGCAACAGTTGGACAGAATTCAGAAAAGATAAAGAATTCAACAGGTAAGATATTTATTTTGATTTCTTTTAAAATACATTTTAGGGGTGCCTGAGTAGCGCACGCAGTTGGGCATCCGACCCTTGGTTTTGGGTCGTGATCTCGGGGTCGTGGGATTGAGCCCCCAGTCATTCTCTGGGCTCAGTGGGAAGTTGGCTTGAGATTCTTTCCCTCTGCCCCTCCCTCTGTTTGCATCCCCCCTGTCCCAAATAAAGTCTATAAAATTAGCTTGGTAAAAATAAATAAAGCACCTCTTTAAATTTTTTTAATATTTTGGATAAATGTTACCCTGAGGTAGAGGTAAATAAACATATATGGTAGCACACATTTAACATTGCCTTGTTGAAAAAAACATTTTTAAGATTTTATTTATTTATTTGACAGACAGAGATCACAAGTAGGCAGAGAGGCAGGCGGAGAGAGGGGTGGGGGAAGCGGGCCCCCTGCTGAGCAGAGCGCCTGATGTGGGGCTCGGTCCCAGGACCCTGGGATCATGACCTGAGCCACCCAGGAGCCCCCCCAATTTTTTTTTTCTTGAAGATTTTGTTTATTTGAGAGAGCACGAGCAGGGAGGAGGGGCAGAGGGAGAGGGAGCCTGATGCGGGGCTCAGGCCCAGGACCCCAGGATCATGACCTGAGCTAAAGGCAGAAGTTTAACCAACTAAGCCACCCAGGCACCTCTGCCTTATTGAAACTTATACTTCAAAGTAAGTAAAGGTCTGGGTTTATTATAAAACGATAAGACATTTTATAAGTGACACATTTCTTCGACAAATTCTAATTCCATGTACTGACTGATGTTTATAGGAAGGAAACTTACTATCAAAGTTGTTACATTTTAAAATGGGATATAATGTACAAAGAACCTCATATCGTGTGCCATATTTGGTGGCAATTGTAATGAAATTTCTTCTTCAATAAAACAAACTATAAAAGTTCACGTGACAAAATTATGGTTATTCATCTTACCAGTAAGCTTAGTATTTTTCATCATGTCAAACAGAGAACTTCATGCTTTCTGCACACTTAAGTTCTAACTGCTTAAATTTCTTAACTCTGTTGATGGTTTTTCAATAAATCAGGATAAGTTACTGTTTGCAGAGATTTCGGAGCTTTGCTTAGGCTCCGCTCTGTGTAGACAGAGTCTGGCACCCAGAGACCCCTCTCCGTGTGGGGTATCTCACGGGCCTCTAAGGCATGAAAGTCATGGCGAGCGATCGAGATCAAGCTGCGTGCTAGAGAGAGCCCACAGACTGCAGCATTTGCAGCTGCTGAGTGAGATCAGAGAGGAGAGTTTCAGGAGAGCAATTTTGTTTCTTTGGAGTGGTCGGTATCAGCTGGTGCGGGAACTGAGACCCAAAGGTATAGCAAGGCACTCTTCACATGGTGCAGTGACTGTGGAGTCAGGCCACCCACACCCCATGCTGGCTGCTAGCTGGGATCCTGGTGAGTCACTGCAGACGGTAACCGATAGCTGCGCCTTCCCTTAGAAGCCGTGAAGCATTGAGAGTGTGGACTGGCACTTAGGGAGGGTTCTATAAACGTGCTGGTCCCTGCTGTATTTGCAGGTGAGATGTTGAGCAGTTGCACATTGAGAACATCTGCATTTCCAGTCTCCTCTTGTTCTTAGTGGGATTTGCATTGATGCCCTACGCTGCCTTGGGGTTCGTGTTGGGAGAGGAGGGCAAGGAAAGCATCGGACTCTCTAGTGATACGTCATTTTGCCTCTGATTAAATCAGAGTGCGGGTGAAGCTTGCCACCCACTGTGTCCTCTCCGCCTGGAAAAGAGCATTTAGCCCCCAGGGTCCTCCTTGGTGGGGGACCTCAGGCTGCGGTTCTGCCTCAGTTCCTCATGGTCCCTGTCCATCCAGGCAAAGTTGAAGGTGTGGAAATACAGCACACGCAGAGCAGCAGCAGGAGTGCTGGCAGGCAAGAGTGGGTGGCTTTTCTAGGGTTTGTTTGTTTGAACTTGTTATCAGTCCTTGAAAGGTGACCACTGCTGTGCTCATTTTCACCAGATTCTTCAGATGATCCCAGTTTACAGCGATCAGTTTCTGTTGCAACTGGACTGAACATGATGAAGAAGCAGAAAGTAAAAACCATTTTTCCACACACCGCCGGCTCCAACCAGACCTTGCTCAGCTTCGCCCAGGGAGACATCCTCACGCTGCTTGTCTCTGAGGAGAAGGACGGCTGGCTTTATGGAGAGCATGACACCACCAAAGTGTAAGTCACAGGACAGACGCTGTCCCCACAGCGGTCAGGGCTGCCCAGGGCTTCAGAGAGCTGTCATGTCTCCTTTCAGTGGCAACTTGTCTGTGTGGTCACAGGAGCATTTTTACCAAAGTTAGGTTCATGGTTTAGTTATGCTTCTAGTTTACTTCATTGCAGTTACTCTGTCCCAGGCTATTTTCTGTATGTGTTTGTGTGTCTGTGCATATATAGATGAATTTGATACTTGAACAGGTCATATGAAGTCACCTCTGAAAGTAGTTTAAATAATTCTTGTTTAAAAAAAAAAAACAACCTTGGATTTCTCAAGGATAATCTGCACATCATGTGGATTTTGTTAAGATTTAGCTCATAAATAGTTTAAATGCCAGCATCATCATTTCAGCCATGAGTATGTGCATAGGCCTTACTATAAGCTGGTTAAATTGGTTTTCTGGGTAGATTATTCGGCTATTAAATAAATGTGGAAAAAAGCCAAAAAAGTAATCCAAATGAAACTAATGCTGTATATAAAATGCACATTGTGTGATGTGGTGAAAATGGACTGGTCTGCCCCTGAGCTATGTCTGAGCTGTTCTGTACCCTGCTTATCCTTCACTTGTCAGCTGCTGACCCCACAATCAGGCCTTTTTTTCCTCCTTCCTCACCTGTAGGAGGGGCTGGTTCCCAGCATCCTACACAAAGTTGCTAGAAGAAGATGCAAAGGAGGCCATGAGCGTGCCCACACCAAGGTAGGACCTGACTGTGGCTCCTGTTTCCCAGTGACAAAAACTCACCTTTGATCTCGTGTTTCTGGGCATATCAGAATTCTATCTAGATTGTGTAGTAGCCCCACAGGGAGACCTCCAGTCATGTAGGAGAGTACAAAAGGAGGACTGTTACCCCACAGTTCTTCCCTTTGTGGTTTCTGCTCTGGGGACATGCTCCCAGACTCTGCTCCTCACCCTCCTGTCAGCCCTCTGGAACCACCCACTGCCTCCCCAACCCCCACCCCCCACCAACTCACTAAATCCAAGGTGAGCGTCATCGCCATTACTGCTTAGGAAGTGCCAAGTTGCCTTACGCTGACTATCTTGTTTAATTCTTATAACAACCTTATGAGGTAGGTCCCCACTTTAAAATTGAGGACACTGAGGCACAGAAAGATGGAGCCAAGGCTGGAACCCAGGAAGGTCTTTTCCACGCCTAGCTATGAATATTTATATGTGTGTCAGCCGCTGAAGTTGGTTACCCTGTGGGTCCTCAGAAGTGACACATCCAGGGGCACCTGGGTGGCTCAGTCGGTTAAGCGTCTAATTCTTGATTTCAACTGAGGTCACGATCTCGGGGTCATGAGATCCAGCCCCAAGTCAGGCTCCCTGCAGGGCATGGCGTTTGCTTAGGTCTCTCTCTCTCTCTCTCTCTCTCTCTCGCTCTCGCTCTCGCTCTCACTCTCCCCCTTCCCCTTCCCCTCCCCCCGCTCCTCCCCCCTCTACCCTTCCTGCCACAAGAAGGAAAGAAAGAAAGACACATCCACACTGCACTTCTCATCTTTACCCTAAACTGGCTTGTCCTCAGTGTTTCCCATCTCAAACCCTCTAACCCATCCAGCTGTCCCTGCAGACCTTTGAGCACCACACTGGATGCCCCCTCCAAGTCCTGCTGTGTGTCATCGTCCCTGGCAGAACAGCTCACCTGCCGCCAGGCCAAGGAGTGAAAACTGCATTTTGTATTTATGATGTTAAAATGCTGAGGGTTCTTTTGGGGGTTTTGTTTTGTTTTTGTTTTGTTTTGTTTTGTTTTTCAAGTCTGAAATGCTCAACGCTTTGGTAAGGCTTTTGCTATAGTCTTCATTTTCTTACTGATCTTAAACTAATCAAGAGCCAGTTCTTAATTCAGTTTTTTTGAGCATACATTTATAAACCAGTAAAAACTTCACGGTATTTTTCTTGTAGCATATTGTGTGCACACACGCAGGTCTCGTCCTCCCCTCTCTCAGGCCCTGTCTGATTGTTCATCTCCTGTAGTTCTGGCCTTGGGATATTTAGGGTGTTTGAGATTCAGGTGGCAGGATCTTATGTAACTTGTATTCTCTGCTTGTTGGTCGGTAGCCCGGCCCCGGTGAGAAGCATCAGCACGGTGAACTTATCTGAGAAAAGCAGTGTCGTCATCCCCCCACCTGATTACCTGGAATGTTTGTCCTTGGGAGCAGCTGCAGATAAGAGAGCAGATGTCTCCAAAAGTATCTCTACCTTTAAAGCACCGGTGTCCAAGCCAGAAGCCACATCTCCTGTGAGTGAAGCTGCGGGGTAACATGCCGTGTACCCCGACCGTGAACGGCGGTGGTGTCCCTGGGATGGGGTGGGGGCTGGCACTCTTTCCTGTCTCTTCACTCCCACCCTCTCACACAGCCGTTCAGCTTCCTGAACTTAAGTCCTGGTGTTTGTTATTTTATCTGTAAATGTAGTTCCTCCGATGGTATCAGGTATATTCTCTCCTCGCCTTTAGTCCTAGCGGCAGTCTGTCAGTCTCCTCACCACTTTTTCTGTATTTTCTTTAATTTTCATACCATTTCCTGAAGGAAGACGAGGGTAAAAGTGGTAACTTTATCTTCGTTGTCTTCAGAAAATGCTTGCTTTGTACCAGGTACTGGGTAAACAGAGTATCATGTACACTCTCTGTAATCCTAAATAACCCCGTAAGAAAGGTGTTGGCTTTCAAGGTATAGAGATACACAGGACCAGTTTGGGGCTCTTTTGGAACTTATAGTCTAGTGGCGGGAAGCAGACGATGAGAAATAACAGTTACCAGAGATGGAAGCTGTGCAGAGAATTAAAACAAGGTGAGATGACAGCGGGTTGGGGCGACAGCTCACAGGGATGTCACCGGTGTGCTTGCAGGTGCTTATGAAGGGGAGCAGCATTTGGGGAGGGGGTGGTGTGGAGCTGGACCTTGAGGGGAGACAGGCCTTGGTCGCTGGCATCCCGGGGAAGAGAGCTTTAGCCGGGGTGACTTCCCAGAGGGACTGCACAGCCCAGGGCAGTGCTCCCTGCGTTTTCCTATTGATCCGGGCAGCACACGACTGTGTCTGCACCCCTGAGGAGGGGACATTGAAACTGAGACCTGAATGGCAAGGAGTCCATCATGTAGGGGTCAAAGGGAGGAGATTCCCGGACGCAAGGAGCAGAGGAGGGCACGTACTTGGCCCACTCATAGATTCCGAGATGACGGAGAATTGAGAAAGTGGGGGGTCCATGTTCTCATTTTTTTCTCGGGATAGGTTCTACTGTCAAGAAGGGGAAGGATGGAGGAGAGGACAGTGACGGGGAGGGTGAGAAGAGCACACATAGTGTGTGGGGCCGGGAGCAGGGAAGGCAGTGAGCAAGAAGCCGTGGGCGCGGGCAGAGGTGCGCACAGACTGGGCAGTTCCTGCTTGAGGATGGCGACTGGGTGGGGAAGCGAGGGCATCAGTGGGGCGGTGGGCGGGGAAGCGAGGGCATCAGTGGGGCGGTGGGCGGAGCGAGCAAGTGTAAAGAAAGCGAATCCGTGAAACAGGTGTTCTGAAGAGTGAGAACACGTGTGTGTTACAGAATATGGGGACTGCGGGGGTAATGCTGATACCCATTTACGGTTTGGGGTCATGATTGAAAACGAAGCCAGACAGTGTGGTGGTTCCTCCAGTATGTAGCTGCTCGGGCTCCGCCGAGAAGTACTGAACCGGTCGAGGGTTACCAGGTGGTGGTGCTGGGGGAGGAGCAGGGAGTTCCTGGTGTTTGCACAGGTAGGGTTGTGGTGTCCCACACCCTGGCATTCAGACGGGACCATGAACAGATCTGGAGGGTGTGGGAAGGGAGGCACAGTGGGGCGTGCAAACCTCTGTGAGGCTGCATGGTGGCTAGAGTGCAGTGGGAAGGAGCCTAGGAGCTCAGGGTCAGAGAGTGGGCTAGACTTCCGGGGGCTGTACCGCTGAGCGTCGTGCCCAGGGCTGCACGGCCGCCAGACGGCCCCAGAGCCTGCCTCACCTGTGCTTTTGGCAGCTTCCTCCCAGAAATAACCCTGGGTTCTGTTGGCGGTCCGCAGGCAGTGGGTGCATTGATACCGGCTACTCTTTTATTTTATGGCCATTGTATGGTCCTTTCTGTAGTGCAGGGAGAGGCATCTCCCTGCTTCTCATGGGATACGTGGCTCCACAGCTCTGCCCCATCGTCAGTGCTACTGGTGGCCTTTGTTCAGCTGGGAATGGTGTATGGGTGCGGTCTCTGGAAACACACACATGGAATGGGAACTCGTAAAATATGCCTTGCATTTCGTTGTGAGCCTTCAGGTGTTTTGGAATATGCCTACCTCATCATAAACTGCAGTGGTGCGTTCTGACCTGGAAAATGCAAGGTTTTTCAATCTCACTCAAAAATGTCTTTGGCTCAGGGCGCCTGGGTGACTCAGTAAGTCAAGTGTCTGCCTTCAGCTCAGGTCCTGATCCCAGGGTCCTAGGATCGAGCCCTATGTAGGGCTCTGCTCTCAATAGAGAATCTGCTCCTCTCCCTCTGTGATCTCTCAACGTCTTTGGCTTCTCAGATAAGCACACTATATGATACATTGTTTATTCCTTTATCGTTCCAAGTTATCCCAGATACGTAACAATTATTTTCAAGAGAATGACACACAGCTGTTGAAAATGGAGCTTTTCCATTCTGTCATCATGGAAGAGAAATTGCTTGGATGGACAAAGATATCAAATGCTGTTTTATTAAATGCCCTAGAACATTTTAAAACGATATTCAGACTCTTTGGAACTGATCTTAAGACATTTTTAAAAAGCAAAAATTCCTTTTGCTGGGATGGGAAAAAAAAAATCCTTAAAACTGCATGTCTCACAGCTCAGGATCCAGGAATATGAGGTATTCCATTCTGGGGTGACCTGTCTATAGCGCCTTCTCCTGTTTTTGATTTCCAGCTTTTTTTTTAAGGGAAAAATTCAAACATAATAAAAGGTGGAAAGAATAAAGCCTTTTTTTTTTTTTTTTTTTAAAGATTTACTTGAGAGAAGCACTCATGTATGTGCATACAATCAGGGGAGGGGCAGAGGGAAAGGGAGATAGGATCCCAAGCAGACTCCAAGTTGAGCACAGAGCCTGAGGTGGGGCTTGATCCCACAACCCATGAGATCATGGTCTGAGCTGAAACCAAGAGTTGGATGCCTGACTGTGCCACCCGGGTGCCCCCCAAGTCTTTTTTCATCTTGCCCCTGGCCGCACCCAGATCAATTTGATGCTAATTCCAAACTTCATTAGTTCATGTCTAAATCCCTTAAATATAATAATACCTTTTATTTTTACATGACCAAAACACCAATTATCATAGCTTTAGAAATTGGCAGTAATTCTTCAGTATCATCAATCAGTCACTTCAAATTTCTGATTATCTTATTAAAAATTGAACAGTATCGTTCGAATCTGGATCCAGGCCAGCTCCATACATTGCAGTTGGTCACTGAGTCTCATGACGAGTGTTTTTTAATCTAAGGTCTCCCCTTCTCTTTTTCCTCCTAACTGATCTGGGAGAACCAGATTATTGGCCCTGGAGGGTGGCCCCAGCCTGGATTTCGCTAAATGCATCCACCTGGGGTCCTTCAGCACATTCCCCTTTCTCCTGTGTCCTCCACCTGGATCGGAGTCAGTGTTACTGTTTTCTTTCTTTGCCGGTTTTGTTGGTTTTGTTAGAGCATTTCATCGGTGGTGGTAGCAAGTCCATCCAGAGGGACACACCTGTCTGGTTATCTCTTCTTTTGTGATATTAGCAGCTTCGATAATAACCACCTCATTCCATTACTTTAAGGTTGTGTCTTTTAAGATAAAAGAATCTTGCCCCAAGTCATTAATACTGAAATTATAAGTGAAAACACTGACATTTTAGGGCACCTGGGTGGCTCAGTCAGTTAGAGGTCTGCCTTTGACTCAGGTCATGACCCCAGGGTCCTGGGATTGAGTCCTGCATCAGGCTCCCTGCTCAGCAGGGAGTCTGCTTCTCTCTCTCCCTTCGCCTTCTACTTCCCCTGCTTCTGGGCTCACTTGCTTGCTCGTTCTCTGTGTCAAATAAATAAAATCTCTAGAAAAACACACACACAAATTTTAGCCAACACAGTCTCATTTTAAAGAACAGTTTAATTTTCAGTATTTTTACCGTATTGGTAAAGCTTTATGACGGAAGCATTGATGCAGTTCTTACTATACTGAATTGGATACATTGAAAAATCCTATTTATTAGTATATTCAAAAATTATATTATTTAGCATTTGGCAGTTTAAATTTATTTTAAATTTATTTTTAAATTTTATTTTTAAACAACTTTGGCTGGATCAGAATAGACTGGCCATGTCAGGGGGCCGCCCCGCAAGTGCTGAGACTATCGAGTAAACTGAGGGTTTGGGGCAGAGTGCAGCTTTAGGCATGTAACTTTCTCCTGAGGGCTGGGGTGGCGCTGCTGCAGGGGGTGGGCCTGTGTCTCTGGCCACCTCGTGGAAGCTGCTGCCCTTCCAGCCTCGACCTGGGTGCAGGAGTCCTTGGCTCACTTCCCGAGTGCACCTGGTCCTCGGTGTCCCAGGGCTGCCTCCAGACAAAGCTCCACACCCCAGGCCCCCCTCCCCAACACAGACCACTTTCACTGACCAGTAATCTATAGTCTCCTCACAGAGCGCAGACCTGATGGCTTCACTGGTGAGTTCTGCTCTACATGCAAAGAATAGCTAACACCAGCCTTCTCAAAGTTCTGCCCAAAAATCGAAGAGGGGACACTTCCTAACTCATTCTGAGGCCAGTGTCACCCTGATACTCTCTGGTCAGGCCCATTTCTGTCTTTAGGCTAGAAGACTTTAGTCTTTCCATTTTAGCAGCCTTTAATGTTTGGTTTCATATAACATTTAAAAGCCCAAATATCTAATGAAGATGCCCTTCTTTTGTGGATTCCAGTGTGATTTTAGTTGTCATTGATTTTGTGAGTGTCAGAACAATGAATGTTGATGAACTCTTTTCTTAATAATTGAGACCTTCCGTTAAGAAGGCATGTTCAGCATGGGACGCCTGGGTGGCTCAGTCATTAAGCGTCTGCCTTCAGCTCAGGTCATGATCCCAGGGTCCTGGGATCGAGTCCCGCATCGGGCTCCCTGCTCAACAGGAGGCCTGCTTCTCCCTTTTCCATTCGGCCTGCTTATGTTCCCTCTCTCGCTATCTCTCTCTGTCAAATAAATAAATGAAATCTTTAAGAGAAAAAAAGAATTGTACACTTTAAAAAAAAAAAAAAAAGGCGTGTTCAGCACTTCACAGAGGTACAGAGTTAGTACCTGCAGTGCGGTCCCCTAACCTGGGTAACTAATGTTCTGCGGTACCAGACTGCTGTGACCAGCCACACTTCTTTCTTAAACACAGCCAAGCGGCCGGTGAAGGTGTGCTGCCTAGAGGGGATCCGTGGATCAGAGTGAGACCTTCCCCCTGGAATTCATCCATTGAGCATTGACTGACAAGCTCCTGTGGTCCAGGGAAACAGAGAGGAATAAGGCAGGCCTAGAAGCTGAGTCCATTGAATGGTGTGTTTATTGAAGCTGTGCAAAGAGGCGACAGAGGAGGGAGGGAGGGAGGGCTCAGGCTCCTGGCAAACATCAGAGGGGGCATCTTGGAGGCAGGTATTTGAGCCAAGTTCTAAAGGAAGAGCTCTGACAAAACACAGAGCCTTCCAGATGTGTGTTCTGGGAACTGAGGTGGCTGGGTATGGTCCAGGGCCATAGCCAGATAAGTGGTGGGATGGATAGGCCAGGAGAGAAGCACACCGAGCCAGGAAGTGTGGGCTACATGTTATCCTTCCTCCATCCTCCTGGGTGGTATCTGCAGGTGGTGGTATCCTCGGGGTGCACCCTGGAGCCTCAAGATGGGGCAGGAGGCTGTGCAGTTGTCCAGGGAGAGTGGGCAGCGGGAGTCATGATCAGTGGAGATGGGAAGGGGTGACAAATTAATTCAAGAGGTAAGGACTGACAGAGCCAGTGACCAGCTGGTGTAGCCTACTTGGGAGAAACCATTGTTCTCTCTTAACTCTGGAAGCAGTTCTGGTTTGCTCATGTTCATGTATTTTAGAGCTGCTTTTTTTTTTATTTTTTAATTTTGAGCTCCAGATTTTTGACATGCAAACATTAAAAAAGGAAAACATTTTTGGGCAACCCTCTCAGGTCCCCTCCCTCCTTGGGAGCTTTGTACTATCATTCGATAAACTTTCCTTAAAAAGGTGGGGGGAGGGAGGAAGGAAGGAAGGGGAAGGAAGGAAGGAAGGAAAGAAGGAAGGAAGGAAGGAAATTCTTATCTGCACTTAAGTTACACATGTAACTACTAGAAAAACATTTGTTTGGGGGGTTCTGAATAATGCAAAATAATCAGGGCCCTATAAGTATGATCATGAAGTTACTTTATGGATTTTTAAAGTACCTACAATTTGAAAGACCCGTCTTCTCACTTTTGGGAAAAAAAAGTAGTTTTCTTCCATGGATGGAAGAAATTTCATTATTTGTCTACTGTATTAAACATAGAAGGAAGTGGCATTATGGTGAAAATCTTTTCTAAAATTCTAATACGGGGGCACCTGGGTGACTCAGTTGATTGTCTTCCTTCAGCTCAGGTCATGATCTCAAGGTCCTGGGTCGAGCCCCGTGTCAGGCTCCTTGCTTAGTGGGGGGCAGGGAGAGTCTGCTTCTCCCTCTCCCTCTGTGCTCTCTCAAATAAATAAAATCCATATAAATAAAATTTTTCTAAGAATCTAAAAAAAATAGAATTATAAATAAATTGATAAATTATCCCACTCTTGAGACAGAAATAAGGATGCTCTCCAATTAACATTTATTGATAACCGTGCACTTAAGTAAACAGATAAATGTTTTTTTTATCTCAAATGTTGCCATTTGCTGGATAAACAGATGCTGAAAAGAAGTTTCCTTTAAATCCACCTCGCAGTCACAGCTGCAGGTCTAAGTTAAAGAACAAAGTCCGAGTTTGTAAAAATTAAAATATCTAATCATGACACCTTATTTAAAATAGCTTATTTAAAAGTAACACTCTTCCTGCTTATAAAAATAACCCAGGGAATTTTTGTTTTGCTCCAAAGTATCTGTAATTTCACTTCCAGGATGACCACAGTTAGCACCACATTATATCTCCTTTGAGAAAACTATAGGCAAATTAATTTTAAATATTTTATCCTCCCTTCCCAGCACCCGCACATGGGAGAATCAGAGCATTTGCTCCTATCAGAAAGCATCTGTGAGTGCCAGACGAGCCCCAGAACTGCCCCGGCTGGTGTGTGATGTGAACAGGGCCGATTTCTGACCTCCCAGGCTGGGAGGCCAGGGGAGAGGGGGAAACACAGACGGAGAGCAGCAGGCCCCAGAGGTCCTTGCCCCGACTGGTCCTCCAGTTCTAAGACCTCGACTGTCTGCTTCTCAGTGCCCCACCCCCATCTGAACACTTGGTAAGACAAATACCACTGTCCTCTTGTGCTGTTCCTGAGGCATCAAGAGGTTGCTTTTTTTGTCTTTGTGATCTGGAGGATAATGGAAAACAGTTAATGAAGGTCACAAGAAACTATTAATTGGCTTTTAAAAATCAGCAAAGGCCACAAGGTTTGAGGGCCTCCCTGAGCAAGGCTCCCCCTGCCATGGCTTCAGCGGCTCCCTCCCCCATCACCCTCTTCAGGACAGTCACTGTTCCTTATCTATAAGACCATAAAGAGGGTAATAACCCAAAAATAAGTACACAGTGCTTCACAGATGCACAGTGAGATTAAAAGACTGATTTATATTCCACTTCTATCACGAACATGTTTTGAAGTAGTATTTCAAGATCCTCTGCAAACTGCAGAAAAACCCCACAACTCCATCACGGGAGGACAGCCCGTGTGCCTCCGCTGCGGACCCCGTTCTTTCAGAGGGGCTGCTGCCTCACTATCTAGTCAGATCTGGGGCTCCAAGAACAAAACTGAAACACGTAGGCCCGCCCCAGGGAAAGACAGAAGAACTGATTTGCTCCAAAGAAATGACCTCAGGAGCAGGGGAAGCTCCTGTCATCAGAACAAGCCTCCCAGTCTCAGTAGCCTCTCGCAAGAGCAGCCGGAGGCACAGGATCTAATCCTCCCATATCAGGGCCTGGGCAAAGGCGGTAAGTGGAGAATTTATGGCCAGACAGAAATGTCCCAGATCTGGGCTGCCCAGGACAGTAGCCGTTGAGCACTGGAAAAAGTGGATATGCAACTAAGGAGTTTGTGTTTGTATTTAATTTTAATGCGAATAGTCATAGGGGTAGTGGGGTATACCCATGTTGGACAGTCGGGTACAGAGCGTCCAGAACAGAACGGTGTTCCGTTTAAAAGCCGCAGCTAGGAATGTACTGGTTGAGAAGCATGGAGCATGACTGCGGCCTGCCCGGTAGCCCCTGAGGGCTGGGCATATGGTCCTAGAATTTTGTATCTCAAAAGTTCTTCCGCCAAAGAGCTGATCATTTATTTTTCCTAAACTAAGATGTTTAAGCCTGCTGATGATGGTAGGGAAAGGTACGTCCTATGTCAGCCAAATGCTGGGATCCACGGCAGCTGGTAAAGCATCTTAATGCTTTTATACGTATTTTTTGATGTACAGCCGTTCGTTAATGCCAATTACATGTAGGGTTTTGGTGAAGCACCAGGATCCTTCGGCTTAAGTACACCGAACACCCGGGCCTGGGAGCCGCCTACTGTAGAGGAGGGTGTGCTCCTGCATCCTCCACCCCACAGTTCTGTGGCGGCCCCGGCATGTTCTGCCTGGGGGCTGGGGGGCAGGTCCCCGGGACCGAACTGTCACCGCAGCAGAGTTGTTGCACATGGAGAACTGGGCTCTAAAACGCTCCTGGAAAACTCAGCCCCGCTCCACACACACTTGCTTCTCAGAGCGATCGCCGCCTGAGCGAGAGGCCCGGGGCGCGGCTTTGTCTGCACCCACTCTCCAGGGTGGGCACCTTGGTTTCAAAAGAGCCCTTGCCCCGGGGCGGTTGGCTCTTCCCTGTCTGGCCTTCAGTGTCCCCATTTGAGGAATAAGGGGTTGAACTAGTTCGGAGGTGATGATTCAGGAGGTCCGTGCCGCCCGCAGCCGAGAACCAGCATCGGCCGTGAGCTGTCAGGGCTGCTGGCGGTGCCGTTAAGAGCCGAGCTCCAGCGGCTTCAGACCAAGGGCACCACCGGTTCCATGGGAGCGGCAGCCCAGGGAGCGTCGCTACGGAGGCTGCCTCAGGGCCCTCTCATCACTCATCTTGGCTTCCGGTATGTGGGCTCCCCACTCAGCATTCTCACTGGGCCACAGAGGTCCCTGTCTCACCTAAGTGTCTACCTGTGGCCAGAAAATGGGCTACGCTGGGTGGACTCAGCTGACCTGACCACCCATAAGCCGGGACCAAGGAGTCCCCTTGAAGGCACATGGGCACGCGGTAGATACCCGAGCAGAAATCTGGATAGTGGGAGAGGGAGGGGGAACGGACAGCCTGTGACAGTGCCCACTCAAGGTGGACTCGGCTTTCAGGTCGTCTGGGGCGAAGAATCACAAGATGCGTCCCCTTTCTGCCTTTTCCTACTCAGCCATCATCATCTGGCTGTAGGCTGTTGCTGGTCAGGCCTAAGGCCTTCACTGCCCTTACTGTCTTATGGGCATCCCGGTCCGTGCCGATGACATGCCTCGCCCGTTTGGGTCCTGGTTTCGTCCCTCGATAGCCCCGCCTTGTTGAGGTGCTGGTTCCCTGGAGGGGACGCCTGGCAGTGCCTACGAGCCGTGCCTACGAGCCGTGGGTTCCGGCTTTCTGTGAGCTGTGTAGTGCGGACTCCCAGCAGGGCCCGCGGGGTGTGACTCCTTCTGCCTGTTGCCTTCGTGACCTTGGGGGGCTCAGCTCTGCAGACACGCACTCGCACGTGCTGTGTGCCCGGAGCTGTGCATGTAGAGAAGGTGGCTCCTGGCCTGCAGAGCCCCGTCAGCCTGTGCGGAGAGGCCGAGGGCCCACAGGAGCCCTGTTGGGACAGGCCCGGTCCAGGGACCCAGGACAGAGGACAAGACAGGATTGGGGAGTACAGAGACCAGGGACCCCAAGCCCCACCACACGGCCCAGGGGAGGCAGCAGAGGGACAGGCTTGGTTGGAACGTTTGGAGGCAGCACAAGAGATGGGGCTGTGTGGTCAGGTGTGAGGTGGGAAGATCCTGAAAACGCTTCTGAGCGGTGTGACATTTGCTCCCTGATGGAAGGAGGGCAGTGCCACGTGGCCTGGAGGCGCGCTTCACTGGCAAAAAAGGGAGCGGGAGGAGGGGCAGGTTTGGGGACAGCAGTCAGTTGTGACCACAGCAGTGGGCTCAGTGCAAGTGGGTTAAGGGAGAAACCTTTCTGAAAATGTCTGTGTTTTTGTTTTTGTTTTAAAGTAAACACTGAAGAATACCATATATGGAAAATGTGTGACTTTTCACAAAACAGCATGTAACCAGCACCAGATCAAGAACTAGAATGTTATCCGCCAGCGGCCTCCCCCAGCACACACACCCCGTCCCCTCTCCCAGTCCAGACTGGCCCATCTGGTGTGGTCCTCCCACGAACCCCCCGTGCAGCGTGCCTTCGCGGCGCCCTGTTGTCGTGAGGCGTTCACCGGAGGGAAGGCAGTCGTCCCTTCTGCTGACAGACGTTTACGCGCTTCTGACGGGACTGCTCGGAGTGTCCTGGCTGGGCGTGGGGGAGTGGGTCTCGGCCCGTGTGCACGCGCGCTGCTGGGACCAGGGCGCGGGGTTCCCACCGGCCCCAGGTTTGCCCCAGCACTAAATGGCTCCAGGCTGTCCTGAGGGACTCTCGCCGTTCTCCCTCAAGTCGCTGCTGCTTCTTGCCACTTGATTTTTGGAGGACTCGGACGCCCCTCTGCCGCCGTGTGTTTCCCTCAAATGTCTGGGCCAAGTACTCGGACGGCAGAGCTCATGAAAATGTAGCCAACCTCGCTGCACCGCTGAGCTGCGCCAGTCGCGGCTCAGGAGGCCCTCCTGGGAAAAAGCCGTCCGTCTTCCCCCGGAGGGCTGCTTGTGGGTCCTCAGGGAGAGTTGTGTGTCTGGTTTCCAGTTCAGGGTGCAGAGCTGTCCTCGGACTTGCAGGTACACCTGGCAGGGAGACAGTGCCGCCCCCAAGGAAAGGGAGCAGGAAGGTGGTTTCCGGTGAGACTGTCAGAGAGCAGGAGGGCTGTGCGCCTCTGGGGCCAAGCACATGCCCCCTAGAGGCCACACCTGGGGAGTCTGGCGGGGCAGGAAGTGTGCTTTCCCGGCGGCGAGGCTGCAGGCCGCCTCCTCCCAGCGGGACCTACAGCCTCCCCTGCAGGGGGCTTTCTGCCCAAGGCCCTACACCGCTGCCGCCGGGGTCTGTGCACGTGCAGCGCTGCAGGGCAGGCATCCTGGTGCTTTTTAAATAAATTATAAATTAGTCTGTAACCATCCTGAAGTATGAGCACTTCCCCACTAATGACTTACTCGGACCCCTGCTGGGGAAGCACGGCACGCCGGAGGAAGAAGCCGGAGGAAGAAACCAATTTGCAGCCATTTAAAGCCCGATTAGGGCGTGCTGAGGGGGCAGTGGAACGTTGACACGGCATCAGGGTGCCTCCTAATGCTGGGGCTCCCCGCTGGCATGACCCTGCTGGCCCCAGGGCTCAGAGTCAAGCTCTGAGGTCCTCAGAGGCACAGAGACAGCAGGCGCGGGTCGGAAGTGGCCCAGGTGCCCGCAGCCCTTCCTCTGCTTCGGGAGTCTATGTCCAGCACCCAAGAGCAGCATCCAGGGAGAGCGCTGACCTGGACTTCCTTCTCCGAGTATGGCCTTTGACCCCCCAGGCTGGCAGCAGGAGGTGGGAGGAGCTTTCAGGTCCTGAGACCACAGGAATCCCAGGAGCTTTCAGGCCTGTCAGGTGTGGCCCAGGGACCTGTTGCTCGGACGGTGTTACACCGCCCTCTCCTGGGCGCCACCTGGAGAATTAGCCCCACAAGCTCGGGCCAGTCATTTCTTGGAACAGCCAGAGCAGATTTAAAGCAAACGTGTAAAGCCCGCAAGCTTACAGAGTGAAAGACAGAAGGTCCATACTCACCCCTGGTCCCAGCCACACTGGGAGACCCCTAAGCCCCGGCTCTGGCGGTTCCTGAAGGCAAAAACAGTGTTGCCATCGTTCCATCTCCTCTTTGCCTTCTGGAACTTTCTGCCAGATCTCTGGCTGCCTGTTGGCATCAGTCTGGGCACCAAAACCCAGCAAGGTCTTATTTTTACTGTCTTTTCATGGCATCATTCAGGATGAGGCTCCAAAAAACCAACCGCGGCCACTACAGTCACGCGGCCGGAGCGCCACTGGTGAGGAGCCGCATGTCCTGGCCTCAGGGTCTGAGTTCTTCCAGCGCTTGTGAGGGTCCCTCGTTGTCTTAGGTCTTCTGTTCTTGCCCTGATTCTTTATGTGACTTTAGACACTGAGATGGTCTCAGATGGACAGAGACTGCAAGGCACTTTGTAGAACAGGCATCAGCCAGCGATAGAGACCCTTATGCTTGAGATGGCTTCACCTTCAGGTCTTGTGAAAAATGCCCCAATTTCACGAGCCTTCCGTAAACTTCGTCTTTATCTTCACAGAACAATGCAAATGGGACAGCAAAGCCTCCTTTCCTCAGGTATGTTGAACTTAGTCCATGGGGGCCTTCAGTGAGCAGCCCAGGAGGCACGACCCTGAGGCGCCTCAGGCCTGGGGCGGGGGGGGTCTGAGAGGGATGCGGCCACCTTCTGCTCATCAGTCTGGGGAGGAGGGCCTGCAAGCTCTGCCATCTTTGCCCGGGACCCCGGGACCTGAAGGGGGACGGTGGGGAGGAAGCCTGGTCACAGGTGCGCTGGGCAGCTTAATCCAGACCCTGTCCTCGGTAGTGCTCCCACCCCAGCATCTACAGCTCTGGAGAGCTGAACGGGTGGGTGGCAAGGAGAGAACTGCCACAGAGAAACGCTCGTGTTCAGAAAACGTCCAGAATTTTATACAGAAGCCATAGAATTTCAGAATGAGGACAGTAGTTCGTAGCGTTTTTAAAATGAAATTTCCATCTCGTAGTATTTCTGCAGCCGTCTTTTTCCTCCCCTTGCAGCGGAGAAAACCCCTTTGCCACTGTGAAACTCCGACCGACGGTGACAAACGACCGCTCCGCACCCATCATCCGATGAAGGCGGGCTTGGGAACGCCTGTTCCTCCGACATTAAGTTCCCACTTGCAGAATGACCGCTGTCGGGCGCGCGCTCTAACTGTGGTAAAGCTTCGCCAAAGGGTGCCTGGTTTTAACTCTATTCTACTTGAGCAGATCAACGCGGTCTCTCAATTTAACATAGTTGGGTTGATACTTCTTTATCTTCTTAAAGACAGAAATGTAATAGTTTAGTGATCGACTCAATCATTTAAAATATCTATTCTGTTCACCAGAAGGCAGTAAATTTGGTTCCAATCCTTACTGTATCATTTTTTAAATGTTCTGATTTTTTTTTTTAATAGCCAGAGTAAGGGATAGTCTGTGCTTTCATGACTGGCTTTCCGCACCCGGATGCGAAGGAGACCACAGTTTCGTTTTATAAAGCATGTGCTCTTACCTAGCATTATGACGTTTATCTAAAAGAAATGATGTGTAAATTTGCAGCTTGGCATGCAAATCCTAACTGTAAGCAATATAAATTATGAGATTATATAAAAAGCTTTTAACTTAAAAATTTTAAACTGTTTAATCAAATGTAGAGCTACATAAGGTGGAGGAATCCCCAGGCTGCCCTCGACTTAGACGCAGGTGTAGAGCACACAGACGTTTGGCCTGCTCCTGTCACGGCCATGACGTCCAGTACTCCTGCACCTGCAGAGCTCCCGGGCTCGGCGGGTCAGAGTTACGGACCGGACTGACCAGTGACAACACACCAGGCCCTGCTGCACTTGGGCCTGACTCCGAGCGTCCCACGTGCGGGCGAGGGCCTGCTGGGAGCAAGTGTCCCCGCGGCGCTAGCTGCCCGAGGTTGCCTCCGTCGCTGGTGAACTCTGAAACGTCCCGGGGGCCAAGTCTCTCCATTTCTGAATCGTCCTGACCCCTGCCCCTCCAAAGAGCACGTAGGAAGCCAGAAGCCTGAGGGCTGTGGCCCGAGAGGGGAAGGTCTGCCTTTCGTCTGAGAGCTGCCATCATGCCCTCAGAATCGGGAAGCCCGCGCCAGTGGCCGCCTTCACCTCTGGCCGCCAGAGACGCGCACTGGTTCGGAGGAGGGCAGCAGCGCGCCGCACGGCCGGCCCCTGCGCTGTGCGGGCGCGAGGAGGGCCTCGTTTATCACAGCAACTTGGGTCTCGCCATAAATCCAACCTTTTTCTGTAAGCTTCAAAGTGGTCACAGTCAAATGCAGGTAAACCAGTGGAAGCGTGGGACGTTTCACGTTCTTGGTCCTGTCCTGCCTGCCCGGTGAACCCGGCCACCCCACCCAGGGCCGAGCTCTGTGGGCAAACGCCCGTCCTGAGCAAAGACGCGCCAGCCGGTCCAGTAAAGACAAGACAGAACGACATCTCACTCGGGGTGTTGTCGTGGTCCCCTGTGTCGTCGTCGTTTCCCCCCCCCCACCCCAGCTTCTCCCGCCATCTGAGTAAGAGGAGGGTTCATGGAAACGCAGCGGTCTCTGTGGTGGGGGTGAGGCCGCCCTGACCTCCAGGGCTCTGCTCTCCGGGATCCTCAGGCTTTGTTATGGAGATTCTCAGGCGCCTGGGTCTCAGCCCTCACAGAATGGGGGGGGCACTCACCTGCCTCACGAGGAGGGGAGGGGGAGGGCTTCTTAGGTCCTGGCACAGAGGTGCGTGCTCTGTAAATGTCAAGGTGTTATGTTTTGTTATATTAATAAAATTTGGAAAGCACACTCGAGAGCTGTGGCTGTCTACGGAGGCCTAGACGAACACGGGCCAGGAGCCGGACCGCGCTGAAGCCCGGCGGCAGGGACGTTGCTCTAGTCTGTTTGGTTACAGGAACTTTCCAACGTGTACACAAGTTTGTACAGCAGCGGTGCGTGCGCACTGAAAAAGCAGAACCAGGTGAACAATGGTATGAATTTCATTTATTTAAAACAGTATTTCTCACCTTCCTCAAATTGAAGACTGCAAAAAATAAAAGCAGTGCTTGAGCTGTCATTCACCCCAGAGCAGTGCTGCTGTGTCCCCACGCTGTGACCCCTGCGCCCACGAAACCGCAGCTCGCGCCACCGATCTCCCCGCGCTTCACAAAACAGTCCTGAAAGCTGAATCAGTAAAGCTACTGTACATGACATTTACATCAGAAAAAGACAGCCGGATGGAGGAAAGCCAGGCGTGGTGTTCCCTTTAAGTGAAGTTTGCTCCACAGTTAGGGCATCTCCGCTTCCTCAAGGCAAAACAGCAGATGAACCCAAATGGGAATAAGATGATGGCCAAGAAGATGCCCAGGAAGGTGAAGGAGTCCTCCAGAACCCCGACTCTGTGGAGAGAGGAGAGGGGCACTCATGTCAGGGCCCTGGGCAGAGCCACACCTAGGGAGGCCCTTCTGTCCTCAGCCCCCCACACAAGAGGGGACAGAGACCGTGAGCACGTGGGGCCTGCGGTGCCTCAGTGACCGTGTCCCCAGCTGTCTTCGCCCTTCCAGCAACAAACCCACCCAGCTGTCACGCGAGCGGGTTACGCAGGAGGCGGCCAGCTACTGCTCTCCGCCGCCACTCCAGGGAGAGTTACCGGAAGGAATCATCACCTCTTGACAAGAACATTCACTTTCCATGTTACCTACTATGTTATCTCCGCCGTTACAAAAGGGGAACAAGAAGCAAATGCTAGTTTCTGTAAAAATCCTAGACCAAGAAATTAGACCAAGGAATCTGAATCATTTTAGGGTATTTTTTTCCCCACTGTTGAAAAATTTCATTCTTCCATCCTCTAGAGGGAAATTTGAAAAACTGGTATTAGAATTCTGTTTGGGGAAAGGTTACCATAAATTTTAGTGAAGGATTAAAATCAGCCATATTTACAAGGTCTCTAAGAAGACCACTTATCTTGAGAAATTTAATCTCCATTTCTTCTTCACAAAGTCAAGTTTATACCTTCAGGGTGCACCAGACACGTGCCCAGGGGCTGTTACCCCAACCATGTGCTTGGAGTGTAGGTTGAATGACCTGAAGTCACCGCTCCCATTCCAGGGTCACTTTCAGAGGCCCCAAAGGTGGGAAGTAGGAGCCATGTGCTCAGCTCTGTCACTGCTTCTTAGGCTACTTCTGGAAAGTTCTGGACAGAGCTGAAATTAAAATAACAGCCAGCTCAGCCCTAATGAACAATGCCTCACATTCCAGAGAACCAAGTTCCTCCCTAGGCAGCCAGGGACACCTCCAGCCTCATCCACCACGCTGTGAGCAGAGAGCCCTTGTGAACAGGCACTTCACCAGAATTCACCAGAACAAACATGCCAAAGCCCCCAGGGCTAGTACTGAGGAGGAAGAAAAGGGACTTCAGGGAGGAGCTCCAGGGCTGACAGGAGGTAGACCAGTAAGCAGACACCCCCACCCGCTCCCTGCTGCCCTCCCAGAGCCCGCCTGCCAGCGTGGGGCGCGAGCCCCTCCCTCCTCGGCCCACACCTCCGCTCCTTTGTCTTCAAATGCTGCGGAGGACCTCCTGTGCCCACAACGCTTTGGGAGCAGCTGCCCCTCCTTTTGCCACCTTGTGCGCAGAGACGGAAGGTTCAGCTCAATAGAAGGTCAAGTGTCAAGGTGAAGCAGCCACCAGAAGGCTTCCAACACTCCAAATGCCAAACCTGCCACCGCCCCTTCTGATCACAGTTTCCTGCCCACAGCAGTGGCGACCCCGCTGGGCCAGGGCTCCAGCCCGCGCCCTCTGTCCTGCCGAGCAGGCGCCAGGCCAAGAGTCACGAGAAACAAACTAGACTGAGGAAGCCTGGTTTGCAGCAGCTTAAAGCAAAGTCCCACGCGATGCCCACTTCCCGTCCTACCCACTCAGGAAGGAGCTGCCTAAAACGTCTGCAAGGGACAGGACCCTGTAGCGCCGCTGCCCAAGGGGCTCGTCCTAAAACACCAGCTCCCCCAGTAAGCTCTGCAGAAAAGAAAAGGAAGTTTTTTAGTTAATTTGAGGAAACTCTTCCCCCATCCTGGAGTCACAGCGCAGGAGTCCGAGAAACCCCGAGGTAAAGACCCTGTCGCACTGTTCCAGTGGGCGCTTCCGTGGACCGTCCGGCCACAGGCAAGGCCGGACCCGAGGGGGAGCCAATCAGGCCTGAATTTCCGTCAGCAGAGTTGCCTGTTCTCGTCTACGTTGCTACACAAGTCTTGTAATCGGAGTCCTCTAAGGACTGCCAAGGTCGCCAGGTCCCCACACTGTTCCTCAGTCCCTGGTGGCTGTCCCTGTCCCTGGGAGCCAGACTCAACGGTGCAGACCCCACCTCGCACCTGCCCCGCCTGAAAAAGCGCCAGCAGCCTTGCTGCCCAGGGCTGAGGCTTCAGGGAGGTCCTGGGCCACACACGGGGACAGGAACGCACCTGCTCTGTCCACCGTCCTCGCCAACAGCTCCTGCAACTATGGAAGCTCATCAAGCCACTTTCCCAGCAGCTGGAGGTGGCCTAGGACACCCCCCCCTCCCGGCTCGGAGCTTTGGTACCACCCAGGTCCCCCTGTCCGCCTCTCTCTCAGCCTCTACCTAAGTCCCACCCATAGTCGAAACCCCAAGAATCCCACCAGTTCACGCGCAGTTAGAATGCCCAAGGGGAAAGCGGAGGGCAGCAACGAACCAGGCCTCACAGCTGGGTCACAAGCACCAGCTGAGAACCTTCCAGAGAAGCGTGCCCTCTGTAGGAGTGTGGAGGAGGCCTTGCCCAGTGTCCCCTCCAGGGGCAAGTGAGGCCCAAGGACAGGGACTTACCTGGCCAAGCACCCACCCAGGCTGGACACTCCAGGTCAGCCCACTTGCGGATCGAAGCTGTTAGCACAGCCCAGAACCCAGTGTGTCCGCTCGAAGGCTCCAAATGTCTGGGAGGAGGCCAGGCCCGAGGCATGTCCTGCTGTCCTCCAACCCTCCGCACCCAGAGCCGTCTCCCCGCAGTGGAGGGGCGGCGGGGGCAGGAGCTATGGGTGCGGCCTAGCACACCTCCCTACACGGGGCGCCCGGCAGAGGGCAGGCGGCTGTCGGGCAGCGCGCCCACCTGCGTCTCCGAGACCGGGCTCTCCGCGGCCCGCAATGGAGGAAACGCGGGGGGCGCGTGCACCCCCAGGCCCTCTCTGCCCAAGCACTAAGCTTCCCAGCAGCAGAGCGGTGGGTGACGGCCGACGAGGGCCCCCGCTCCTCTGTCCTGCCTGAGGAGCACTGTCCGACGCATACGGGGGCGCCCCTCCCCTGGCCCACCTGCCCGGGTCAGATGGCTCACCCCACCCGCCTTCACCGCACTCTAAACACGGCCTGGCCGCAGGTCCCCGGGAAGAGCAAGGGCCTTTCCCTTCAGGGACGAGGGACCATCCCCTCCAGCAAGTCCGCGACCCAACCACCTTCCACAGGGTAACGACCCGAACCCGACACACTTTCAAGCCAGTGGGAGCCTCCAAGCATGGGGTCAGCCCTCAGGTACCACACTCGCCACCCAGGAGTCCACACGCCTCTTCCAAATGACAGAAAGCCCTGGGAGAACTTGACTATAGCTTTGTAGCGA